TGCCTGGCTAATTTTTTGATTTATTGTAGAGATGAGGTCTCGCCAAGTTGCCCAGGCTGGTCTCGAACCCACGGGCTCAGGCAATCCACTCACCTCAGCCTCCCAAAGCACGGGATTACAGGCTGAGCCACCGAGCCCAGCTTTGAATTTTTTCTTTAAAAACACAAACACACAGCCAAAATACCCAGAAGGCGGAATTCCTCAAAGATACCTGGCCAGGCTGAGGTGCAGGTGTGGGCATGTGACAGCACTACCATGCTGCACAAAAGCCACTGAAGTGCATGCCACATCCCAGCCACCTGGGGTTAGGCACTGGGCTTAGTCATTTACTAAACATTTAAAATGTAAAAATAAATCACTGGCAGTTCATACAAACCCACAAATGTCAAGGTAGGGCAGAGCCACAGATCCTTACCACAAGGTCCTGGTCTGGCCCAGCATGCCAGCACCACAGATGGCAGGACAACACCTTTGTCTGCCCCAAGGGCCCAGAGGCTAGGCTGCTGTGCCTCCCTAGGCTGGGCTGGGCGCCTCTGGACTGGGAGTTCAGTGGTGGACAGATGGAAGCACTTGAAGACTGGCCAGACCCGGTGCTGGTGCTCTGCACAAGCATCTAGCCAACGCTGTTCCACACCAGGCACAAGGCCCCAGCCGAGCCCTCCTCAATGTCATGCACCACCCTCAGGGCCTCCTCACCCCCACCCCAAGTCTTGCCAATGCCCCGCCTGCCACCCCCAGCCCAGGCCCCTGTGCACCTTCCCCAAAGCCAGGGTGGATGGTGAGGCCCTTCTCCCTCCGGGCTCAGCCCTGTCCGGCATGTGGCTAGCATACCTGGCTGGCACAACAGGCTGGTGCCTGCCCTCCAGCCCATAGAGGTTCCTGCTGCATCTTGTAGCCCGAGGCCTCACTCCACACCCTGCTCCCCAAGGTCTCGTCTCAGTCCCAGGGCAAAGCTCCAAACTTCGCCCTGCCCCAACCTCCTCCAGGAAGCCCACAAGACCGTGCACATTTGGGTCAGAGACCTTGCAGAGAATCTCTGGCCAGGTTTTATTTGTCTGTGACTCAAGTTTGCCTCTCATCAACTAGAAACAGCTTCATTATTTTTCTTACACCTACTCCTGGTAAGAAAATGAAAACGTAAAAGCCACGTAATGCTTCTATGTGCTTTTGACATACTGTTTTGAATGTCAATAAAAGTCTTTATCCCACAAGATGAAATCTTGCTTCACCTTCTCCTGTCCATTCCAACTGTCCCAGGAATCGACGGAGGATACTCCCAGTCCACCATGTGAGCCACCTGCCCCTCACCATGCAGTCCCAAAGGAGCAGGGCATAGCACCTGAGGGCCAGGTGGGGCCAAAGACAGGCCTCACCGACCCAGTCCTGGCAGCACTAGCCCCCAGTCCAAGGAGAGGACAAAGCTCACACATAGCCATCACATATGCACTAGGGGTGACACCTGCTACACTGCCCAGGATGGGGGCTAAGGCATCCTGGCAGCACATGGGAGAGAAAACACACACTGCCCTGGAGGCTGTCCCACCCACACTATGTCCACCTGGGAGTGGGACCCAACTGCTCTCCCACAATATATGAGGCCACAAAGGGCACACCTCTGTCTCAGTTCCAATCACCACAAGACAGGGGCACTGCAAGCCCCCAACCCTGCTGCCTGCCCAGTCCCTAAGGTCTCCAGGACAGACATGACCTCCAGGAGGAGTAAGTCTCACACAGCCCTGAGGCTGGGGCAGGCTGTTCCCTGATGAAGATGAAGAATGACATATGACAGGAGCAGCCACAGAGAGGGATTCTGGATCATTAGCGATTTTGTTCTCAGACTCCTGGTCCAACTTGGTGGCCAAGGCCTCCACAGAGACTGTGGCTCACTCTGGAGGGAAGAGCTAAGGCCAGGACAAAAGTCCCTTCTCCAGACAAACTGCCCCTGGCCACAGTCCCAGGACCCCCAGCGCTACTCTCCATCGTGTCAGGTCAGGAGCCCTCATTTTGTCCTTGAGCTACAGGCTGAAGCAGTCCCCTCTGGTGGGCCTAGCTCCCTGGCAGATGTGTACAGACGAGGCCCACCCCGCTGACTGCACATCCAGCATAAGCATCAGGACTCGGCGCAGGACTCCAGTCTTTCAGGCCCTGGGAGGGCTGTGCTCGGAACCTCCCTGGTGCCCAGCGGCCCACCTCCAGTATGCCTGCTTCTTTGTGTGGTGGCCCAGGGAAAACTTTGTTATCCGCCCAGCCTGCTTCAGGTGGACATGGGGTCTGGTCGGGTTTTAGCAATCACAGACCAGGTCTGACAAGCACATTCCTGCTGGAGCCACCAGCAGCTCACCTCAAGGGTTTAGATGCGTAGCCCAAGCAGCGACTTGGCATGTCACTGCCCACCACAGCCACCCTGTTTATGGGGTATAGTCTGCTGAGCAGGAACCTCCAAAAAGGTGAGTGAGAAGACCCGACACTCAAGAGGCTGCCACACCCCGATCCCTGCCCCCAGATGAGAATGCAAACTGACAAACACTACCAGGCAGGCCAGCGAGCTTCACAATGCCACTGCCCAAAGTTGCCCAATGCTGTTCGGATGGGAAACAAGTGAGAAGTCAGAATACAGCCTCTCCTGTTTTGTGCACACCATGTGCCTCAACGAGGCTGAGCAGGAGTGACAATGGCACCCCAACCCTTATGCCTGTCAGGGTCCCACTGGGCTACAACCAGTGCAGCTAGCCCCAGCTCTCTACACACTGCCACAAGTCCAGTGCTACCCTTCGGTCAGAGACAGGTACAGGAAACCCAGACATACCTATGCTGTGTGCCAACCACATTCTCCTGAATGACCAGGATAGGAACTCCCCAAACTAGGGATACTTGAACCTGACCAGGAATCAAGCACATCAAGGATGCTCTGAAGCTATGGGAGCTGATGGCATTTTCCCAAGTGAAAGGGATCTGAAGCCTGTGTCCATGTGTCTTATATGGCTGATTGTGACACCAAAGCTGGATCCCTGGCAGCCATGGAGTTTCGGACACCTGCCTGAGGCCGCACCCCTGCTCAGAAACAAGGAGGGAAGCAGCTGCCCAAATCGGACAGGGGACAGTCAGGCTGAGATCCCAGGACACCCAGAACCCAGACCATCTGGGACGGGCAAGTAGGAAGCTAGGCATACTGCCCTTCTGGGAGAAAGTACACACACTGCAATGTCCTACCTCACAGCGTCTAGTCTCTTATTCTGCCGGATGAGCTCAATAAACTCCTGGATCCTTAGGCTGAACTCCAAGCAGCTCTGAAGGGAAAGACAAGACAAGGCTTAGACGAGAATCACCGCAGGCCCGGGCACTGGCACCCACACCTGACATCCACTGGCAGACCCCAATAGCAAGCCCTGAGCCCCAGGAAGGCAGGGCGCCCCAAACAGCTATGTTCACCTGCAGCCAGACTTTCTAGTTGGACCAACTCGGTTTTACAAGAATGTGTGCCCATTCCCTCATCAAGCAGCCCGGGCAGTGTGGGGGCCCAGCGTTCCAACCTAAGGGTTCATATACTTGGGATGCACCCAGGATGAGGGCCTAGGGGACAGACAGTAGTAGGCACAGATGCTGGGAAGCCTCAGGGGCCACATGAGAAGGCATCACAAGATGAGCAGGAGGCAGGAGCCACCAAGAGGTTGCCAGCCAGGCATCACCTGCTCCCAAGTCTGTGTGTGCCAGAAGGAAAGGGGCCAACTCATCTACAGGATAAAGGTGCTTCCTGGGCTCTCTAGGTGTTTCCTCTTACATAACCCCTGTCGGCTGACTGTGGACTGGACACCATCCCATGCCCATAGGATATTCTGGGAGGCAGGGACCAACTGTACGGACACTGGGTAGCACTTCACAGGGGAGCATGAAGCAGAGGAACAAGTGCGGAGCAGACAGCCCTCAGGCCTCGCTGAGCAAGAGTACTCAGGCAAAGATCACGGGTAGGGACGCTGTACAGATGCCCAGGCAGAATGCTCCAGGGGGAAGCCAGGGCCAGCACCAAGGCCCCAGGTGGGAAGTGAGTGGAGTGAGAGGCACTGGCCTGCAGGATGTCAAACCCAAGTTCCATGAAGGGAGGACAGTCCCAGGATGGGTGCAGGAGGGAGAGAGTTCTGGGTCGGGGCTGGTGAAAGAAGGGCACCACACCCGAGGCGGGGGCTCAGGGGACAGTTCTGGCAAGGGCCCAGTCCCAGAGTGCGTCTGCCTAGGAGCTCCATGTGTGATTCTGAGGGAATGTCCCAGAAGTCTAAACACTAACTGAAATCTCAGCTCCATCCATCCATTTGAGTTGAAACTTTTGTGGCTGGGGGTGGGAAAAAGCAGCAAAATTCTCTTTTGTCACCTAAGATGAGAAGCTGGATTTTACAAGTGATCATTAAACCTTAAGACCATCCACATGGTTTCAGAGCCTACTTAGCACTTCCCACCAGAAACACTACATAGAGTGAACAGAAAAGATCAAGTGACAGAGCTCAGCACTAACCTGCCATTCTGAGCTCCACAGCAGACCTCCAGAGAGTAAGTGACTAACCCTGAATGCCTACCACTACACTCGCAGCTGACCAACACCACTCCTTGCCCACTTAGCCTCCACAAGTGCACACCAGTACGCTGAGGAACTCCAGCCTGCCCAGTCTACCCCGCCTGCCAGCCCTGCTCCCCTGACACATGGTGGGCAACACCTGGAGCAACCTGTGGCAGCAGCTCTAGTGAGCCTGGACTGGGCTGCCCAGACCCCCAGGGACAACCAGGGAACCCGAGAGCCACTTACCTTCCAGGTAGGATCAGAGCCACAGCCACGCAACAGGTGCTCAGAGCAAGGGAAAGATGCATGGGGGTGTCCCTGTCCCCTGCCCATGCCCTCAGGCAATGAGTAAACAGGCTAGATGCAGACCTTGCAGACTTGTTCCAAGCCAAGGCAGCAGGAGTCTGTCTCTGACCCCAACAGTGGTGTAGGCACTGTGTGCTGAGTGCCAGGTTTGGTGCCAACCACTGAAGAGGTACAAGGTGTACCCCATGGTTCCTGGGAGGGGCCCGGCCCAGCTCCACCTGAGGCCTGGCCTCACTGCTGAGCCGACACACTGGCCAGCACTCCACTCCCTTCAAAGTCAAATGGGCAGGAATAGAGAAAGTCGTCCAGTGGGAAGTCAAGGCCAGTGGGAAGAAGCCAAGGCTGCCCACAGCAGGCCCTCATCTTCCTCAGGCCCTGCCTGCCGCCTGGGGATACCCAATGACCTCGGCTTCTACAGTTGCTGGGGGCCAGCGGGCTGTTTCAAAGCAGGAAGAAGCAACCATGTGGACATTCTAGAAGAGCAATATTTTGAGTGGTCCAAGTTACTGCTTTAGAAAATGGACATTTTCAGACTTGCCTGTTTAAGATGACTCTTAGCTGCTCTAGTAGGTTAACTTTCCAATGGTCCACGAATAGGAAAGTGTGTATATGCAGTGCAAACTAGGCATTCAGACTCAAATCTTAACACCAGCAGTCTAAACAATCTTGTCAAGCAAGGAACGCTGACTAGGCTGTGCACTCTGTAAAATGGGAACCTCATGGCAACGGCTCCATGGGACTTCTCCGCTTCTCCACAGACGGGCATCACTGCTTCAGCTGCCCTTCATGGTCCAGAGACCTGAGTTGCTTCAGCAGACGTCAACATGGCACCCCATCATTTTAAAATGTATTGTCCAACTAAGCAGGACTGGGGTCTCAAAAGTTTCTTTTCCCATCTAGATTCTGACGACCCTGATCTAAAAGCTCCCCACCCGCTTCCTGGTGTACCCACATGGGAGCACGTGCACGCACACGCACACACACACACACACACACACACACACACACACACACACACACACACACACAGACATCTGTGTACTGTGTACTCTGCTCCGCTTGGCGGACACCTCATAATGGTCGTGTTATCATGTCATTAGGGGTATTCAAGACACATCTTTGGACAGCACCCCAAATGGGTCTTCCGCTCCCTTCACTGCGGACATCTTCCCACATTGAGGCAACACTCATCAGCCACACATCTGCCCAGGGCGGCTCACATCCAAGTCTCTGACCCCTCCTGTCCCCACGGCAGTCTTGGCCCACAGCCCGTGTGGTGCACCTGCGGCAAGCCCTGTGACACCCTCCTATCTGCCAGGTAGTTAGGGCTTGCAGAAACAGCTCATGGAGACGAGATCCTTTCTCCCCTGTGATGTAACATAAGTGGGCCGGCAGAGTCCCCTGCGAGGCGCACCCCGGCTCTCTGGGAGGGAGTGGAGGGCTGGCACTGTGCGGGGAGGTGCCAAGGGTTACATACCAATTCTGGCTTTCCTTTTATGGTTTCCATACCAAGATCCTCACTCTCTTTAGGGGAGCCACTGGCCGCTCTACTTTTTCGTCCCGTCTTCGCCTCGTGCTCGTTTTGGCGGCCCTGAGTGGCAGAGTGTGTCACTCTCGGCTGGTAACTGCGCGCGCCCCGACAAGCTCAACCATGGTGGGGTTAAAGCAGCGCTCAGTTTAGAAAACAGAAAACAAACAGTTTTTCCAACGGAGGCAGGTTGGTTAATAGACATTAACACATTTCTGCAAGCCCTAGAGTGACAGCATCTTTAGCAAGCACGTGTAGACTCTGTAGTTTACGTTCAGAGTCTATTTTCTAAGCCTTTTGTGGTCTCCAGCAAAGTAAGAATATAACAGCTCAGAGTTCTGCAGCCTCATGAGTAGACAAGGACTTCCCAGCCAGCATTTTTGAGTCTTGTGACCGAGAGCAGGGAGCCCACAAAGTGGACCATGTGAGGCGGGACCCACTATCCCCAGCTCCAAGTGCAAGAGCCCTCAACATGGGCTGTGTACACAGCTGGCCTCTCCACCCCACCCCACCCCACCCCTTCTGAGCCTCACACCAGAATGTCTGTCCAAACCCTAATGCAAAAGGAGGTGCACTTCTCAGAGTTGTAACCTAAAAGTGGAATACCACCACAAACACACCCCAAGCCCTCCTCCACCCCTCCCCCATGAAGTAAGACCAAACTGCAGACTAACAGGCAAGGGATGCTGGTTCCAAGGCAGGCGGCTAAGCCTCAGCCCCACCCCACCTCTGTCCCACCTTGCCGGGAGCCCCACACACCTTCATCTTCCGGAGCCGGGACTTGTTGTCGTGGCACCAAGCCAGGCAGGTAGCCGTCTCACGCCTCTCCAGGGATTCCTCCACCTCCTTGGCCGTCAGGAACATTTCGATGTTCACAAGGTCCTTGGAGGAAGGAGAGGATTCCCATCAGAATGCCTGGCTCAGGACCTCTGAGGCAGGAACCACTGCCTTCACTAGAGGCCATCTCCAGTTCATACCCACAGGCCATGCCTGTGGCTGGCTCCAGGTTGAGGAGCTGCCAAGATGGAAAAAAAAAAGACTCCCAAGGACTGGGAGGCTTGGAAGGACAAGTATGTGGACAGCAGTCACAGCTGGTCAGGGGGCCAGGTAGGCCTGAGCAGCAGACTCCAGTCTTGCCCATTCCCATGCAGACAAGCCAGGAGGGAATGTAAACACAGGCACACCAGGAACATGTGCAGATGACCCGTCTCCCGCTTCCTGCAGCCCCCCAGCACACTGTCTGGTCACTTCCTGGCAGTCCTCTCATCTCAAAGTAAAAAGTAAGGGAATGACACACACTAAGCGCATCATGGCTAATATCCAGGCAGGTCAAACCAATGATTTATACAAAAACAAACAAACAAAAATAATGGGCTGGGCTCGGTGGTTCAGCCTGTAATCCCAGCACTTTGGGAGACCGAGGCGAGTGGATTGCCTGAGCCTGCGGGTTCAAGACCCACCCGGGCAATTTGGCGAGACCTCGTCTCTACAATAAATCAAAAACTAGTTGAGCATGGTAGCGCGCGGTTGCAGTTCCAGCTACTTGGAAGGCTGAGGCAGAAGGATCGCTGGAGCCCAGCAGGTTGAGGCTGCGGTGGCCTGGAGTGTACCACTGCACTCCAGTTTGGGCGACGGAGACTCCAACTCAAAATAAAAAACAAAAATAGCTGGGCCTGGTGGCTCAGCCTGTAACCCTGCGCCTTGGGAGGCTGAAGTGAGTGGATTGCCTAAGCCCGCGGGTTCGAGACCCGCCTGGGCAACTTGGCGAGACCTCATCTCTACAATAAATAAAAAAAATTAGCCGGCATGGTAGCACGTGCCTGTAGTTCCAGCTACTTGGAAGGCTGAGGCAGAAGGATTGCCGGAGCCCAGCAGGTCGAGGCTGCGGTGGCCAGGAGCGGCCACTGCACTCTGGTCTGGGCGACAGAGTGAGACTCCAACTCAGAAAAATAAAAAATAACTAATAAAAATAAATAAATAACGAAGCAGACACAGGCTTGACACTGACCCAATGTGGCCGAGCACAGGTTAGTACTATGTCTAGCTATGGGACCAAGCAGTCACCAAGCAAGGGCAGGAGAGCACAACCTGATCCCCCCTGGTCCTCACCAGTCACCGCAGGGCTGACAGCAAGCGCTTAGGCAGCCCACACAGGAGCTGCGTATCCCACCATCCTCAGGTCCTCTGGGGACACCAGTGTGGGCAGAGGGGAGGTTCCAGACCATCCTCAGGCCTCAGTGGACAGTGGGACTCAGAGCAGCGCCTCCGCTTTCACATGGCCCAAGACCCAAGTGCCCAGGTTGAGGTCACACAGGTCACCACTCGGTCCCCACAGTCCCACATCCTGACCTCTGGGCTCAGCGGGGCTAGGGGTGGCAAGGCCAGAGACCCACTCCACCTCATGCAGACAGACCCAGGGTGGCTACAGTCGGTAAGGCTGGGCTGGGTCCTGATAGGCGCCCAGCAGCTTGTGGTCCTGAGCAAGTGCCCAAGCTTAGGAGCTGGCCAACCAGTCATGCCCTGTCCCACCCCTTCTGGGTAACTTCCTCTTCCTGGGCCTCTGTGTGCCGTTCTCTCCCCTCACTGCACCCTCTTGGGTTTTGACAGATACGTGCCATTGTATGACTACTGTTACCATGGCTACATACACACCATACCCCATGCCTCAGTTTTCCCACTGATTAAGCAGGGATAAGGAACTACACTGCTTCACAGGTGTGTTGTTTTTTCATGCCATTTCTTGGATGATTTTTTTTCTGGAAACTTCTGAGCAGGCAAATGTCAGGTCTTCCCACAAAGCCCTAGTCTTCTTCTCTCCCCTATTTTCCACCTTTGTTTTTCAATTTTGCTCTAAATTCCAAGGAGCAGCTTCCAGTCTATCTCTCGCCCATGTATCACATTCCAGTCACCTGTCCTCTGTGTGCGCAGCCTCAGTTCCCAAATCTTGCTGATCTTTCCCTCTTGGTTCTCTAATGTTCATGGCTCCCTGGTTGTGTGAGTCCAGTGAGGTGACATGAGCTGGAGGTGAGGCAGCTTGTACAGCATAAACTGAGAGTCCCTCAGGAGAAATCAGGCTTCTGTCTCACACTGACTTCTAAGGCAGTGCAGTCAGGACACACAATGGCCACACAGCGGACACTTTTCTTCCAGAACTGTCAGTGCTGTGTTTGAGCTGGCCTGGGGCTCTCCTCATGGTGACCTCTCCTGGGTGACAGCACGTCCTGTCCTGAGACCTTGCCCCACCCCAGAGCAATAGTTCTCCTCCTTTGTTTGCTAGAGTTCCAATTTGTGCACAGGTGAACCCAAGGTCCCCATGTGGGTATAGGATGTCCATAGTCTGTCCAGTGCAGTGACCCCAGTCACAGCCTCAGGGCCTCTGGAGTCCCTTGTTCCTTGTGATTTGGCCTCACAGGGCACCCACAGGGGCCTTTAAAAGAGGATCCTGGGCTCAGCACCCCTGGCCCACCTTGACAGAGGGAACCTCCAGGACTCACAAGCCATGGGCTCCACACACGCTGGCCCCTCTCCCAACTTGATGGCCCCAGGTCCTTTCTGGGCCTCAGGACTCCACCCTCATCATCTCAAGTCTTGTTTATCTTGCCCCACAAAGGCCTACCCCAGATGACCTTCCTAAAGTCAGCCTCCCTTTGCTCCCCAATCTGTGCATCTCTGTAAAACACATGGTCCGTGTCTATCACGTGATCCCATGTTTTGCCGCTTGCCTTTGCCCCACAGCACATGCTCCCTGGGGCCAGGGTGTGGCAGCTCACACTTCATAGGCCTGCTTGGCCATACCCCACAGGTTGCACACCCAGAGAAGTACTACACTCAGAAGGGAAGGAGAATGAATATCTGGGACACATGAGGGGTATCCCTGGCAGACAGGACAGTGTGCCAGGCACACTAAAGAGAGGAGGGCCTGTTGATCAGGGGGACGCTAGCATGCTGAGCTGCGAAAGCAAGCAGGTGGCACCAGCGTGAGGGCCCAGTGAGCACCAGGGTTGACATGTGGTGGCCTGGCTGTCCAACTCAGGGGCATGTAGCACAGCAGAGCCAGCACAGACAGCCCAGGCCAATGGATGAGCATGTAGGGGAGAAGCCACAGTAGAGGGACTGCAAGTGAAGACCTGGAAATGCCTAGGATTAGCCAAGGTTACAGACAGTTCAGGACACTAGGCCTGGTCCCTTGCTGAGGACTGTGGGTATTTCATTCTGACACGTCAACTGGCTGATGGATGGGGAGCCACAGGAACAAAGCCAACACCATGCAGAGCTGGGCGCATCCCACTCAGTGGGCCCAGTGTACTTAGTGTCCCCAAACACAAAAGAACCACACACTGTCCTTCCTCCTGGCAGGTGAGACAGGCGATATGCAGACAGAGGTAGAAATGTTCACAGAAGCCAGCCAGGAGGGCTGAGGAGGGAGGGCCCTGTTCTACCCGGCAAGGCTGCCCTGGGAGCCAGCATTTGGCCTGAAGCAAGCATGGGATAAATGCCATGGGCCAGAGCAGGTGAGCCAGGCCCCGAAGTTCACCTTTCTTAGGGGCAAGTCTGACAGAGAGTAAATGCGGTAGGAGTTGGTGGGGGCCCAAAAGCTCAGCAGGAAGCTCCTGCACGGCCAGGGCTGGGATCCAGAGAACATAGCCAGGGCACATGGGCAGGGCCCACAGACACCTATGTGGGGGCATGAACATGGCACCAAGGGACCCAAGGACTCAGGCCTGCACAAAGTGAGGCCACATCCGAGGCAAGGAGGCGGAAGGTGGGAGTCTTGCTCTGGGGTATAGTTGCCAGGACTGAGACCCATCACAGCCCAGCCAAGAACCATGCACACGAGGGGGGTAGGGGATGACGTAAGCTGTGAGGAGAGAGGATCACTGGGTTAGACAGGTAGAAGCCAGCCAAAAAGGTGAGGGAGGAGCAGTGGAGGGAGGCAGGTTTCTGGGTGTCAGCTACATGGCTGGAGGTGGGGAGAGGCCACAGCACATGGTCAGAGGAGCTACGGATCCCCAGAGGTGGGCAACTAACTGATAGCAGAGGGGCTGACCACAGCTAGTGCAGCCCAAAGGTGCAGATGGTCTACAAAGGTCGGGCGAGGGCATGGGGCAACACCACCTGAAGTCCTTCCCAGTGGGATGTGCACTGAGGCAAGGACACCGTGTGGTTCTGCAGCTAGACACTGGTACTGCAAGGAGACTCACAGAAAGACACCCTGCTGGATGTGAAGCCAAGGCCCACAATAACACAGCGTGACGAGAACAACTTCCACGGTTAACTGGGGAAAGGGAGGTGTCAGGTCGGAAAAATCCCTTTCCATATTTTTCCTAATGTTTCCTTAGTTCAAAAAGCTAACACCCACAGGTCATGGACACAAGGGGCACAGGGCCTCTCAGGCAGGCAAAAAAATGGCTCAGCAGAGCACGAGAGGTTTTCAGGACACACTGGAGATGGCCCCGGCATGGTACTTGCATCTGGCGAGGCTGCCGGCCCACCTCAATGCCGCTCTGCCGTGCCAGCTTCACTGCTGTGTTGTAGTAGCCGCAGCGCAGCAGGTGCTCCACCATCATGCGGTCCATGCGCTTCCTCTTCCACATGCTAGCCGCTGCGGGCTGGTCGCTGCTGTGCTCCTTGAGGTGCTCGATCCTGCGTTTGCACAGCTTGGCACTCTCGTCTTCAGCCTGGATGGACTCCACTGCCTGTGCCAACACAACAAAGACCCACTCAGGATGGGGACATGCTACCACAGCCCCAGCCCCACCGAGAAACCTGGCTGCCATGATCTAAATGCTCACAAGAGGAAAAGCAAGGACAGTTGGGAACATCACGGATGGCATGACAGAAATAAAAGGAACATTCTACACATGTCAATTTGGCAACTTTGTGCTTGATCTACAAACTACTAACTGAGCATGTTAAATCTACCACTGAGCCTGGCCTCTTTTAAAAATATTTCTCTCGCTGGGTGTGGTGGCTCATGCCTGTAATCCCAGCACCTCAGGAGGCTGAGGCGAGAGAGGATTGCCTGAGCCCACGAGTTTAAGACCAACCTGGGCAACTTGGTGAGTTGGTCATCTCTACAACAAATTAAAAAATTAGCTGGGTGTGGTGGTGCATGCCTGTGGTTCCAGCGACTTGGAAGGCTGAGGTCAAAGGATCGTCTGAGCCCAGCAGGTTGATGTTGCAGTGACTGGAAGCGTGCCACTGCACACTAACCTGAGCGACAAAATGAGACTCCGACTCAAAAAAAACAATAACCCCCCCCAAAAAACAAAAAAAACACTGAGTTTTTCATTTTGACTGTTATATTTCTCATTTCTTTTTTTTTTTACTTTTTTTTTTTTTTTTTTTTTTTTTGAGTGGAAGTCTCACTCTGTCACCCAAACTGGAGTGGAGGGGCCGCTTCCGGCCACCGCGGCCTCGAGCTGGTGGGCTCCGGCGATCCTTCCGCCTCAGCCTTCCAAGTAACCGGAATTACAGGCATGCGCCACCACGCCCGGCTGATTTTTTGATTTATTGTAAAAATGAGGTCTCGCTGCCCAGGCGGGTCTCGAACCCGCGGGCTCAGGCAATCCACTCACCTCAGCCTCCCAAAGGCGCGGGATTACAGGCTGAGCCACCGAGCCCGGCTATATTTCTCATTTCTTAAAGATTTGATTCTTTTTAAACCCTAATCACTTTTTATACTTTCTGCTCCTTGCAGACATTGTCAAGCTGCTTTTAAATTCTTAACACACAAAAGTATGGCACATGACAGTTTCCATATCTAAAGTCTGCAGGTCTCTGTCTGCTGTTTCTGTTGGTTCTCTGATCAATCATGGTGTCTTATGTACCTGGTTGTTTTTGTGCTAAATATTGCACTTGTGAAAGATTATTTCTAAGAATGATCTTACACTCATACTAAAGGAATTCTCCCTATGGAAGAACCTGCATTTATGCTGCCTGGAGCCCGAAGGCACCAAGAGCCAGGACCACTTATCCTGAGGTGAGGGCTGAGAGTCCCTGGCTCACCCAGATGTTCTGAACCTGGGCTGCAAAGCTTTGTCAAAGCTGTGGGGTCCCAGCTTATCTCCATTAGGTCCTCACTTCCCATGGCCCTGGGTCACTGGTCCCCATGTCTATGGCTTGGCAGAACTCCCTGGGCAGCAGCAGTTCCTTGTCTTGTTACCTCTCTGATCCTCTGCCCCCCATTTCTGGACTAGTCATTCCTTTCTGCCTCATGAGCTCTTTGATACTTTAAGTAAGATGCTTTAAAACATCTTATCCCAGCCAGGCTCGGTGGCTCAGCCTGTAATCCCGCGCCTTGGGAGGCTGAGGTGAGTGGATTGCCTGAGTCCGCAGGTTCAAGACCCGCCTGGGAAAGTTGGTGAGACCTCATCTCTACAATAAATCAAAAAATTAGCCGGGCGTGGTAGCGCACGCCTGTAATTCCAGCTA